AAAAAAAAAAAAAAAAAAAAAAAAAAAAAGGGAACGATGGTAGTCAAAACTCCATTTTCTACAACTCATCATTTGGTTCTTCCTCGTCTGAAGAAGCAGAACTTCCACCACTCTTATCATAAACCTGCTTTATAACAGGATTGCAAATCGCTTCTACTTCTTTCAGCTTCTCATCATAGTCTTCCTTCTCCGCGTTTTGGTTGTCGTCCAGCCATTCAAGAGCCTCCTTCAATGCCCTCTCTATCTTCTCCTTGTCGCTCGATTTCATCTTGTCCGTGAGCTTGTCCTTGTCGTTTACCATGTTCTTCATGTTGTAAATGTAGGTCTCTAGCTTGTTCCTGGAATCAATCTTTTCCCTCAACTTCTTATCCTCTTCGGCGAATTCTTCAGCTTCTTTCACCATCTTCTCAATCTCTTCCTGGCTGAGACGCCCCTTTTCATTGGTGATGGTAATGGATTGTGACTTCTTCGCCGCCTTGTCCTCGGCTGTTACATGTAGGATGCCATCGGCATCAACCTCAAAGGTGACCTCAATCTGAGGAATTCCCCTGCATTAGAGACTTCAAGACATTTATTAGCCAACGACAACATATGATTTTAGTATCATACTTTAAGGTTAGCTATTTAAAGGCTTAGAATTTCGATTATGTAATTTCGTTGTTTTATATTAATCCTTTAGATCATCTTCAATGATAATGTCATATTCAACACAAGAAAGTAAACAAAAAAAAACAAAAACAAAAAAAAGAAGTCATATCTGATACGTCGTTCTGTTTTATGTTCCATTTGCATAATTCTATTTTAAATGGCATATCTAATTTTTTTGATTGACAAAGTTTTATGGTTTAAGCAAAGAGTCAGAAAAGCAATATTCTTAATAAACATACCTTGGAGCAGGTGGAATGCCAGAAAGATCAAATTTTCCGAGCTCGCGACAATCCTTAGTCAAGCTTCTTTCACCTTCATATACCTTGATAGAGACCGTGGTTTGCTGGTCTTGGTAAGTGGTAAATGTCTGAGACTTCTTGGTGGAAATCACAGTGTTTCTTGGAATCAATTTTGTCATGACACCGCCAACAGTTTCAATACCCAAACTCAGTGGAATAACATCGAGCAAAAGCATGCCTGCAGATCAATAAAAAACATTGTTTCAACACTCTAACTCAAATCAAGAAAGTAACTTAATAGTTGAATCAACGTCATTCTTTTTTTACCTTTGGTTTCTTCGCCACCTTCACCGCTGAGGATTCCACCCTGAACCGCAGCACCATAGGCCACGGCCTCGTCAGGGTTGACACCTTTGTTTGGTTCTTTTCCATCAAAGAAGTCCTTCCAAAGCTGTTGAACTTTGGGAATTCTAGTACTTCCTCCAACAAGCACAATCTCATGTATGTCACTCTTCTTCAGCCCTGCATCTTCCATCCGCCTTTTTCCCGGCCCCATTGTCTTCTTAAACAAGTCCATGTTCAATTCCTCAAATCTAGCCCTTGTCAATGGTTCCGAAAAATCAATACCGTCGAAGAGGGACTCGATCTCCACTCTCACTTGGTGCTGGCTGCTCAGTGCTCTCTTAGCTCTTTCACATTCCTTGCGAAGCTTCCCAAGAGCCCTATTGTCCTTGCTAATATCTTTGTTGTACTTCCTCTTGATCAACTTGATGAAGTAGTCCATCACTCTGTGGTCAAAGTCCTCCCCACCCAAATGGGTGTCCCCACTTGTAGCCAAAACCTCAAACACTCCATTGTCAATGGTCAAGATGCTAACATCAAACGTACCACCACCAAGATCAAACACCAAAATGTTCTTCTCTCCTCCTTTCTTGTCTAGACCATAGGCAATAGCCGCTGCCGTCGGCTCATTTATGATTCGAGCCACATTTAGCCCACATTTAGCCCCGCGATGGTGCCCGCATCCTTTGTTGCCTGCCTTTGCGCGTCATTAAAATACGCTATAACCAAACAGATGAAATTTCATTAAGTCCAAAAACAATCTATTGTCAATTACAAAGACTAGGCCTAAAAATAGGACAATTATTATACCTGGAACGGTAACAACGGCATCTTTAATTTTCTTGCTTAAATATTGCTCAGCCGTTTCCTTCATCTTTCCCAAGACCATAGCGCTTATCTCCTCAGGGCTAAACACTTTGGTCTCTCCTTTGACCTTAACCTGTATATAGGGCTTCCCATCTTTGTTCACTACCTTATAAGGCAAAAACTTGATGTCCCTTTGGACTTCTGGATCATCAAACCTATCCAAAAAATAAAACCAAACCACGATTTAAGTACATTACTCTCCCAAAACACAATTTCCACAAAACTAAACATCAAATAAGAAAAATTCTTAATCATTCCATATCATATCCACAAATTTTATTAAGAATTTTAGTTGTTCCCATACTTTAAAAAAAAAAAAAAAAAATATATATATATATATATATATAATTCTACCCCTATTAAATAATTAAAATATGTTGTTGTTTCTCAAATTTAATGAAAAAAAACTCACCCCACTTTATAACTATATCTCAATGCAACAAAACACCCTTTTTTTTAATTTTGTTCTTCAAAATGTTACCATTGAAAAACTTCTAATCCCTCCAATGTCTACATACAGGAATTACGAAACGGTTCAAAACTGTATCCAAAGAAATGGGACGCTTACTTTCTGCCAATGAGTCTCTTGACGTCGATAATAGTGCGGTCGGGATTGAGCGGGGCTTGGTTCTTGGCGGCCTCTCCGATGAGGCGCTCGGTGTCGGTGAAGGCAACCCAAGAAGGGGTTATCCTGTTGCCCTGATCATTGGCTATAATATCCACATGACCGTTCTTGTACACTCCCACACACGAATAAGTCGTTCCCAAATCGATTCCGATCACAGTTCCGAGCTTCGGCTGCGACTCCTCCGCCGCTATAACCAGTCCAAACATGAATTCTGAACACAAAGAAAAACAATTCTCAGAATCAAATACTAAAAACGAAGACAAGCGAAGAAACGAATTACACAAGAATGAGATGTTCCAACTTACGTGAAAGAAAGAGAAGCAGAAAAGAAAGTGCTCTTGTCTTCTTCTGCGCTTCCATTGTTTGATCTTCTTAGCTTCTTGCTCTGTATTTTGAGTTTCTCGTTTTTGCTTTGTTGATGATTTGCTGAGTTTCAAATGGCGGGGTTCAGAGAGATATTTGTAGCTGTGGGCTAAGTTCGGTGCGCAGAATTTACCAGTGTTCCGTCCAATTATTTGTGGCCACGTCAGCGTCGAAGCGAAATTTTAAAGAAGTCGGTCCGGTTATAAGTTGGCTCATTTCAGCTAGAGAGTTCTCACCAATTATGGCTGGCCATGTCAGGATTTGAGGTTGTTTGCTCTATGGGCGAACACGTAAAACATCCAATTGAGGATTGCCACGTGTGAAAAGGAATGGGTCGGACTTCTTTTTTCCCGAAGTTTCTTGATTTTTGAAGAAAAAGCACTAAAAATAAGAGTGAAGAGGCGTTCAACGGTTAAACATCGACGGCGTCGTTTTGTCTATTGCTGAGGATATTGGTTTCTTTCTTTATTTTTTTTTTAATATTCATTTTTTTAAGGAGATTTCTATTACATAGCTTAAAAGAATAAACTATTGAGTATGTCACTGTTTTGCGGAACCAACTCCTCTGTTTTCTTATATTTATCTCCTTTTGTACTCCTCTAATAATATTATGACTCGTTAATTAAAATATTACTTAAATTAAAAATTTTAAAAATTATAATGTAACTTGTTATTATTAGAGAATATAAAAAGAGAAAAAAGAATATATGAACTCAATCCCTCTTTTAATGTGATTAATAATTTTGTCCTGTATAAAGTCCTGCCGCAGAGGGATTTTTTTAAAAGAGAGATTTTTTCAAAAATAGTACTTGCGTGTTAGTTTAGACATGGAGGCCGTCTTTATTTCTACGAAATACAATACAACACGTCAACACCCATGAACTCAACGAAAGCTCAAAAATATCAACTACTACTGAATGTTTTACAAAACAATCCAATCTAAGAAAGCAAGAAAAAAAAAAGAGTTCCAAATTAAAACTCTACAAAAAGAAAATCATAGTCATGACAATACAATCTGCTTTCAATTAGTGATATAGTGAAAGAAAACATACAATCTCATAAACACACAATTTAAAAATTTAAAAAAAAAAAAAAAAATCATCATGATCTATCGGAAAGGAGCAAGAGGATTAGGACTTCTTGGTGTCTTCGAGCTCCGAAGCTCTTTACAGACATGGTCTAACATGCCCAAAAAGTCTCTCACAATCACAAATATCCTCAGCGGATTAACTTCCTCTTTGCTCACATCTCCATGGAAGTACTCAGTGATCTCCTTCACGTGTGACATTACTTTAGCTTCATCACCCTGCAACTCCTTCAGCTTCTTCTCTCCATAACTCACAAAACAATTCATGGCGGTCACAAACTTCATACTCTTCTCATCCATGCACAACTTTTCGGTTATTATTAGCCCTCGGATCTTTGCCATTCCCTCCGACAAGTTCGAGACCGAGCTTACGAGCACGTCCAAGTCGATTGCAGCCGTCTTCTTGACGTTGTAGAGCTCGGTGCTTAGGCCGGAGACGAGGTCTAGCCCCATTCTTCTGTAGTCCTCTTCCTTTTCTTCCGGCGTTCGGTTTTTGTTCTTTTGGTTGATCCTGCCCATGATGCTGTCCGCCACTCGGATTCCCTCCGAGCGGATTATCTCCTGGACGACGAAGTGGAGCAGAGTTGTCTTTCCGTCGGTGCCTTTGACGTCGGCTAGCTTGAGGAGGGCATCGAGCTTGAACGCCTGGGCGCCTCCTCGGATGGTTCCGACGTTCATACGGTTTCCTGTTTTGAGGACGGCTTCTAGTAGCTTCAAGAAGAGCCTGCTTGACCTCGGCTCCTTGCAGGCTTCCTATACCACAAAATGGAACCAAGTGAATGAAAAAGACAAGGGATGTTTGGTGCTTTTGCTCTTGGACTTTTAACGAACGAGCAAGTTTACTTTTAATATTTTAATTCGGCATATTATCTCCAAAATTTAAGATAGTGTCCCTAAAATCAATGACGATTGTTTAAATTTTAATGAAAACGCCCTCGGACACGTTACGTGAGCTCATTTGATAGAAGATACTAAAATTTCATATTACAATTGGAGCGCGTCAATTCACGTCTGCAAGGACATTTTCTTTAAAACTTGAATATCATCTATCAACTTGGGGATCCTCTATAACATTTTATCATACTTGGAGCAATATGCTACAACTAAAAGCGCAGGGACAACTAGTTAATTCAATCAAAGTTCATGAATAAAAGCGCCAAAAATTCAAAAGATTGAAGTGGATCTTGATGCAGATCTAGATATTGAAGTAAAGTTAGTGTGCTTTTATGCTTTAAAATGATTGGTTTTACCTCTAGCATTGAGAAAGAGTTTCTGAGATGAACCACTTCATCTTCAAAAGTTTCTCTGTAAAGCATGGCTTCTGCGCGTTGAAAGGCAAATGGTATGCTAAGCATTGCCTTCACAAACTTCTCTGCTGAAC